CCGCTGCCCAGGTCGCTGCCGCCGCCGGCGTCGCTCCCGCCGCGCGGCGGCGTGCGTGCGCCGACGTCGGCGTCGTCGGCGGCGCGGTCGCCGTCGGGTTGGGGGATTGCCGGGCTCGCGTCTGGGGGAGTGGGGCAACGCGGCCGCGCGTTGCATGGTGAGTGCATGGAGCGCCGGTGGCCGGCCTGGGGCGTCGGCGGCTGTGCCCAGTCGCTCTGCCAATCAAATCACATGCATGCCTGCCAAGCGGCCCATGTGACAGGCTGTGGCCACCTGGATCGTCGTCTTTCGTCGGTCGGAGCTGCGCTGAGCCGTTGCAGCGCGGATTCAAAGAGCGCGCACCTGGGCTGTCAACCTCATGCCGATCGCCGGGCAGCTGGGCCGCGCCCTCCTCCCGCTGCTGCTGCAGCACCAGAGCCGCCTCGAACTCCGCGCCCATGCCCTGTGGGTGTGTTTGGGGTAGGAGCGGCGCGTGCAACGCGGCGTGGCTTGCGCTTGGGAGGGGGTGGGGCCACGGATGATGTAGGCAGGCGCGGGTTGGATGCGCCGCGGCGCCTGGGGCGCCCTGGAGTCAACCTCATAGCGAGCATATAAGGATCAAGTTACCGTGAGATATGAACTTAGATCAGAAGGCTCCATAAGGCCCAGGAGCCTAAATCCGACCGCGCACCTCAGATCACATTTAGGGCGCGCGCTGAGCCCGAGTGTTCCCCTCACAACCCGAATGCATGCCATCAGCAATCAACTATAATATACTGCGAACGTCACCGCCGAACAAGCTGATCGTGCGCGCCTAGTGCTTTTTAGCGGCCTCCGAGTGCTCCCACGGGCAAGAGGCCGCGGTGCCGGGCAAAATGCTATGATTCGTGCAAATGTTTGGGTTTATCCGCGCACACCTGTGCGGATCCGCCATGCATGCTGCCACCGTCCAACCCGGCATCCAGTGTCCCCTCTCCGTCGAGATCAAGTGCCATTGCCTAGTACGCTGGCGTCTGTTCTCAAAGTCGCCGCATGGGCGCAGCGTTCGCCGGTGTGTGTAAAGGCGTGTTGTCAGAGCAGAGTGAGATCGCACGGCGGGGAAGGAGCATTGTTTGTTGAAAAGTCATCAGAGGCGTTGTGTCGCATCATAGCAAGCAGTGCGAAACTGCAGCCTCAGCAACTGCATCGCACGGCGAGTGACCCGTCGAATGGCGGGAACGAGATGGACTTGGATGAACGCACTTGAAGACGGGCCAAATAGTTGTTGATACACTGAAATTTATGATCCGCGCATGGGTACGTCCTCTCCGCATCGTCTTGACCCTGCGGCCGGGCCGCACCGTCAGCAGCGCATGCCGCTCCCGCGCCGGCTTCACCGCCCCAGCTGCAGCTCGTTGTCGCGCCCCCCACACCGCTGTTTGCATTGAGCACGCCTCCCACATGACTCTGCGAGCCGGAAACGGCCGCTTGTGACGTTTGCTGCTGGATGCCACCAGGTTGCTGCTGCTGCTGCTGCTGCTGCTGGTTGCATCAGGTGGATGGGTGTTTACATGAGTGACGAGGCCGCCTGCCAATCGTCAATCAAGCCAAGCCTCCTGCTGTGTAGACACGGCTAGTCTTCAGATACAGACCCAAAGACAGCCATCGCGGCAGCCCCGCCATTGCGACCGATCCCCAATCCCCTCACACACGGCCCCCGGCTCGCTCGCACCCGACAGCCCGCCGCCCCAACACTCTCGGCGCCAGCACGGCCGCACTACGCAACGCGGCCCGCACTCTCCAACCACGGCCGCGTTTTGACACGCTTGCCGACCACCGAATGCACCGCCGCCGCCGCCGCCGCAGCCACTGCTGCTGCCGCACGGGCCGTGGGGCCGAGGGCGGCGCACAAAACGCCGCCCTCAGTCCAGCAGCGACGCCTCGAGGTTGGCCAGCTCCTCCAGAGACGGGTCACCTTCCATCAGCTTCCGCAGCAGCGCATCCACCCCGCCGCCGCCACCGCCGCCGCCTCCGCCGCCGCCCCGGGGCGTGCCGCTCGCAGAGCCCGCGCCCGCGTCGACGCGCGCGCCGCCGGCGCGCACGCTCGCGCCAGCGCCGCCGGCCAGGGGCGCTTCCTGGGAGTCTGCCGCCGCCAGCACCGCCGGACACGGCATCGAGGCCGCCGTGTTGCTGCCGCCGCCGCTGCCGCTGCCGCGCTGCACAGGCCCCTGCGCTGCCGCCGCCAAAGAGGGCGAGCGGCCGGCCCGCATGTGCTGCAGCGTCTGGCGCGCCGCCGCCAGCGCGGGGCTCGCGGCGCCGGGCGCTTCGGCGTGCCGCGGCGAAGCCTGCGGCGACGAGTGGGCAGAGAGCGGCTGCTGCTGCTGCTGCTGCTGCTGCTGCTGCTGCAACGGGCGGTGGGGATAGTGGTGGTGGTGGTGGTTCTGCTGCTGCTGCTGCTGCTGCTGGTGGTCGTTCAGCCAGGTGGCGCTGGGCTCGGCAGACTGAGGCAGGGAATAGGGCTCTGCAATGTCCTGCGCCCGCTGCTGCTGCTGCTGCTGCTGCTGCCGCTGCTGCTGCTCATACCTCGCCGCCACCCGCGCCGCAGCCCCTGCCTGCGCCGCCCGACCGTCCCAGCCCGGCCCCACCGCCGCCGCCGCCGCCGCCGCCGCGGGGGCCTTCTGCGCGCTGAGCGGCGCCGGCGACGACGCGAGCCCGCCGCCGCCGTCGTCGGCGCCGCCGCCGCTGGAGCCCCATACGTCACGCGGCCGCGCCCGCCCGCCCATCGGAGGCGTGGACACCGCTTCTTCGTCCCACGCGGCCGCGAGGCGCGCGCCGCCAGGCGCCTCTAGCCTCTGCGCCGCAGTCGCCGCCGCCGCTCGCTTGCCGGCCGGCCGTTCTTGCTGCTGCTGCTGCTGCTGCTGCTGCTGCTGACGCTGCACGGGCGGCGCGGCGGGCGGCTGGCTCAGGGCCGGAGGCTGCGCGACGTGGCGCCCTCTGCCGCGCGCCTCCTGCTCCTCTTCCGACCGCCATCCGGTGCCGCGCCCGAGCCCGCTTTCAAACGCCCCCTGCGCTTGTCGCGGCGGGGAGTAAAGGAGGCCCCTGCTGCCTGCCCCTCTCTCGCCGCCACGGCCGCCGCCGCCGCCGCTGCTGCTGCTGCTGCTGCTGCTGCTGCTGCCCGCCTCTTCTCCCCCCGACGCGCCGCCGCCGCCGTCGTACCGCTCCCGCCGCCCCGACGCCGCCCGCTCGCCGCCGCGGCCCCGCCCTGCCGCGCCGCCTGCGCCGCGGGCGCCGCGTGCCTCAACCCCGCCATGCCCCTCCCAGCTCCTCGCCCCGCCCCCCTGCGGCTGCCCAAACCGAACGTCACGCTGCCCCGCCGCCTCGCGCCCCGCGCCAACGGCACTATGCGTGCGCTCCGCCTGCCGCCCCGCCTCCCGCGGCCGTCGCGGCGGTGAGATCGTCAGCCGGATGTCCGCCTCTAGGACTTCCGGCCAGCCGCCGCCGCCGCCGCCGCCGCCGTGCCTGTGCAGCCGGTGCCTATCGACACCCGCGCCCTGCGCGCCGCGGCAGCCGCTGCCGCGGTCGGCGACGCGGCCGTTCGAGCAGGCGCTTTCAGAAGACGAGTTGTCCTCACAGCCAGACTCGGGACCCTCATCGCGCAACTCGGCGCTGGCCCGGCCCCGGCCCTGGCCCCGCGCCGCCGGCCCGCCGCCGCCCGCGCGCGCGTCCGCGCTCCGCGCCGGCCGCGGG